ATTTTGTTTCAGGTCTAACCATTTTGATAACCCCAAGTGTTCTATTTTAAATATCGTTTCATTTTGTGTGGATGCGGATGTGGGTGTGGGTGTGGGTGTGGGTGTGGATGCGGATGTGGGTAAATAGAAGATCATACACTCATACACCCGCACACCCGCCCACGTCTACCCGATTTTTCCTACAAAAGGGAGATTTCGTACATTGATTTTTCTGTATTTTTTTTCTATTTCTGGTGGAGGAAATTCGATTTAAGGGTGAATGCCCGTCTTGGGAATTTTGGTTCTTCGTTAACGATTTCTGCTTGGCTTTTTGTGAGGTGAATGATTTCTCTTTGGATCGGAACGACTTCTCGATTTTGATGGATATTGTCCAGCCCTTGCCTATCAGAGTTCTGGTTCGGGTATAGAAAGTTGTACCCGCGCCGGACTCCAACTCACATCAGTGATTTTAGCGCCTGATCATGTTGACCGTATTAATTATACTTGAAATTTAGGTATTTTTCAATTGTGAAATATGTTAAAATAATATGATTGTTTTAAAGAAATATGTACTTTAATAAAACGCAAGCAAAAAAGTACAAGGAAAGCATGTGAACTACCCTTTCAAACTCTCATAAATGGCCACATTCGAATTTAAGAAAATCAGAGAAAACAATATTTATTCTCTCGAAAACGAATCATGACTACGAAAACAATTATCAAAAGTTTATTCTTCATCAGAAGAATATTGATCAGCTTCTAAAAGTGCTTGTTCGAATGACAAAATCTCAGGCGATCGTGTAATATTCATATGATTATTGTATATGATTGCAGCAAGAAAATGTGCATCTATGAGGGTGTGGGTGTGTCTTGTTTATATACACCCACACCCTCAAAAAAGGTTACTTCTACGCCGAAATCGTCAAATACTACCCTAAAACATACACGATATGCTGTGATTTCTAGCGGTTATATCAAAAGGGACTTTGGAGCCATCGAATTTCCAATTGAAAAGGATATAGCGCGAACAATCATGCAGCATTTCATTTTGACAATAAAAATCATGCTCATTGAGCCAAAATATTTCCACTTCATAAGAGTACGTCACTTTTCAAAGAATTGCGAAATTAGGGCGGTATTTCTAATTTATTGATAGGAAAAAATTGAGTGTCATAGAAGTTCTTATAGATTGTAATAGAGGGAAAGATGCTACATCGAATAGACCTATTTTCAACAAATGTACACTGAAACTATGTGAACTGTTAAGTCAAAAGATGGTTTTTCAGACTTTCATAGAGGATTGCAAATCTTTCCTAGTATCCGAATACTCCCACAAAATGAAACGATATTTAAAATAGAACACTTGGGGTTATCAAAATGGTTAGACCTGAAACAAAATAGGCACAAACATGTTTTTTCGAAATCCTTGGGATGGATCTCAGGCATAAGAATATGAATTGTGATAAATTATAAAATAAACTTGAGAAAAGTAATCAAACACACAGATCGATTCTCAGGATATTAAAATTAAGTTGAAATTTTTTTACAGCTATGATCGCTATTTCGCAAATTTTAAAAATCCAATGGTTTTTCGCACAAGGCACTTAATCACTTCATTTTAAGTGAATTAAGTGTTAACGCGAAAAGCTTAATACTTAATATTAAATATTAAGTGGCTAATGCAAACATTTTTCTATTAATATCAAGTGTTAAGTTAAAACTTAAAATTTAATATTAAATTAACGTTAAACGCCACTCCTACAGTCAACAGTATTAGTAAAAGTTATGCAAAATAACAGAAAAAAATTCCGTCGAAAAAATTCTGAAGAAATTTTACCACCAATGATAGGCCTCCTTCAATATAAACTAATTATAAATTTTATGACACATAAATGATATTTAGAATATCCACAATCAGTTTTCGAATCATAGGTTAAGTGCGTCATCTACAATTCGAATTGGAGCCATCTATCATTGGGCTATATACCACTATAGGAAAATATTCAAGTTGCACTCATCACTATTTAGCAAATTTACTTAATATTTAGCGTTTTAAATACAGCTACGATCCACTAAAATCGATTGTTCGAGCAAAATTTAGTCGCAAATGCAGTAATTAGAAATAATCGATTGATCATCACCCAATTCGATTGTAAAAGATTGGGGCGATTTCAGTCGATTGTAGAATTAAAATCAGATTCAACTGCAGTAATTAGGTTCGAGAAACCGGATTTGCTCAACCATAATCAAAAATAGTCACGATTTTTGTGAGGGATATTTTTCACTGGGTTTTGTGCTTTTTTCTTAGAAAATTGTTAGCACAAAGTAAGTTTTTGCAGTAGAAGTGAAATTATTTGAATTTCCAAAATTTATTCAAAATTAAATTACGCCTTGAAAAATTTTCTTGGTGTTTGACTAATATTCGAATTCGGATAAGACAAATTCTTCTCTGTTCGTTGCTTGGAATTTTTATTTCACATTGAGTTTTCCCTTAAACAGCATGTTATTCTGCTATACCAGATGAGCTGCAATGCGATTTGTCTTTGGTCGCATTCTCTCTGAAAAATTGATACAAACCGCAATAATTGTTTACTAGAAAGCATTGCACAATTTGAAAATAAGCACAAACATGAAGAGTAAATGTTTGATATCAAACAGCATGTAATAAAATTGATAAAAACCATAGAAATGAGTTATAATTAGTATAATGAACATCAATTCGAAATATACTATTTGCCGAAACGCTTTTTCATTTATATTGTTACATTCGGATGATGTTCTGAGAAAAGCATATGAAAAAATTCACTCGGCATGTGTAAGTAAGTGAGCTTCTCAATATTTTCAGTTTTACGATCCCACGCTTATTTCTCTATGAGTGATTGTTATTATCATACTTAAACTTGCATTATGCCAATTAATTATCGGAAATAAAAGATGCTAAAACTCAAGCTAGTGTAGCTAGCATCTGTCTACCATTTTGTACTTGTCCAGCGTCTGGTTGATAAGCGCACTGACTGCGAATTTAAAGAGGAAAATAATATATAATGAAAGTTAACATGATATTCGGGTATTCTCTGTCTTGATTGAATTCCCGGCTTTTGTTGGGTTTTCACTAGGTTGTGTTGGATGAGGTGTGGGTGTAATTGTTAATTTGGAACTTTTCCACATGCCCATTCACACCCACACCCAGGTTTTCATTAGGTCGCTAATGACTATATATATATATGAGTACAATAGATCCGAAATGGCTCTTGTGGACATCATAATGTTGAACAAAACATTCTTCTAGCATTCAGATTAGAGTTCGAGATAACAATTAAGGGATAGATTATACGCTAAAATTTTCATGGAATTTAGCGATTTTCAACTTGCCGAATGATCTTTCTCTTACAGACATTGGCTCTGAACATATAGCTGGTCAGCCTACACGAGTGTCATTCGCCGAAAACCCTCCGCGAATAGTATGATTAAGATAGGGCATTATGGAATAGATTCGATCATAAACTTTTCATGGAGATGTAAGCATTCGTTAAGCTCGGACAACGTATCAAACTTCATTCACTTTGTCTGGTACCAACTTGTATCGATAATACCATAATAGAGACATTTTCCCTTTTCTCTTGCTTTCCTTCCTGTTTATTAACAAATTAAGTTGGAACGGTACAAGATTACAGATGAAATGGAAATCCTAGTATTCTTAATGATGGTGATGATGACGATAATGATGCTCGCTTTGTCCAGCTGTGTATTCGTTGTATGGTTGTTGCTGTTGAATGGCTCCACCACCAAATTGATTAGCTGTATAACCGTACCCTCCTTGCTGCTGGTAAACACCAGCACCGGGTCCATATTGATCACCTTGCCAGTTAAATGTGCCATTCGGTCCATACTGCTCGTGGGCAATATGATGGGCTTGCTGCTTAGCGAGATGTTTCAGTTTTTCGCGATCCAGAAAGTCGAGTCCCTTTGTCTCGATTAGTTTGTCAACTTCGGCGGCGGCAAAACCAGCGAGCATCTCTTTCATAAGTGGGTGCGACACGTGCTGGCCTGTACGACGCACGTGATCTTCATAGGCCTTCATAGCTAAATAAACAGATAGATAAGGGCATTTTTTGTGAATCTGGAATGTCCAATAACATAAGTGGTCGATTATTTTTGGTGTAAATCAAATCGAATATGATTCTCTCATGTTTCATTCGATTCCTCGCTTAGAGGAACATTGAACTGCTGTGAGTATCGCTAGAGAAACGTTTTGCCAATTTTCTTTTGTTAAAAGTCTTACAAACTACAAAAAACCATTCGTTTCTCAGTTTTTGCCAACTTTTAATATCATAATAGAGCACGTGGAGGTCAATCAGCAAAAAGATTGACAAATCATGTTACGGGCCTGCCCTCTCATATTCTAATATCATTTCTGTTTCACCGATGTGACGTCATTCTTTACGTATTCAGATATATCTCTTTCTTCGGTGCAATATCTTTCGATCACATTATCTTCGTTTTCTTGTATTCGTTTTCTCTTTCATTTACCCTGGACGTGCAGAACGGACATATATATGTGTGTTTCTTTCTGTTCTAGCTGGTCTGATGTAGTGTAGTCGTTGTGTGTATGTGTATCCATACGTGTTAAGTAGTGATTTAGTAAGTGACGGGGAGAATAATATCTTCCCCTAATAGATCATATTCAAGTAAAGGGTATGAGAAGTTTCAATGCTGCTACCTGACCGTTTTGATTTCGCGATCAACTATAGTTTTTGGAATAATGTACTGCTCTGAGACGATGTGTAGTTAACTTTGTCAAATATGTTGAAGATTAAACTTAATTTCCCGCAAAAAAATACCGATCAAAGAAAGCAGGATATTGCCAATATCTCTTCGTGAAGTAAATCGTTCAATTCGAAACTTTCATTCTTTCTTTCTTCTCTGTTATGTTCTCTCTAAATATTCAAAAATTGAAATATCACAAGAGATTTTTCGTCAAATTTTTCTCATGATATTGTCTTTCACTTAAATTACATAATCTATGAAACCGAAATAAGTTGCAAAGTTGCTATACCTCTCGGCTTATCGTATGGCACGTATTCAAACAGTTCATTTTAATTTTAAAACACTCAATCAATAGAGGGCACTCGCAAAAATTCGAAATAGTAGTAGATGATACTTGTTACCTCAAGAACAGATCTCAGTTTTTTGAGTGGGTAGCGCTCGATTCAGATTAATGCGTTCTATCGGATGATATATAATATATTCTGTTTCATCGATATGTTTGAAGAGTGTTTTTGAGAAATATGCTGAAGATCTTTGATGTGCTATAGGCCTATTTGGAATTTTCGAACAGAGTAGAATCAAATGTAGAGAGAGTGAGAATTTGTTGGGTGTTAAAAAATGTTCTATCGCATTGCATGCCGGATTGTCTATGTGAACACTTTCAATCGGCAAGTAGGTCATCAGGAGTAACTATATAATAATATAGCCTCTTTAGCAGCTCTAACGTAAGAATCCTCTGAATCAAGCTGTTTTTGCCTTACATGCTAATATAGAGAGTATGATTGGACGAAATCGTCACAAAAATTGTCGATCATTCAGCTTAATATCCGTGAACAGTACACCGGCACCAGTCTGGCTTCGATATACTCAATAGGTTTTACCTATAGGATGGATGATGCCATAGATGTTACATTTATGATAAGAAGATATTCCACGTCACAGATAAAAGGAGAAAATGCTACCTTCAGATTTGACTCAGCCCGATGTATGATTTCTAAGGCTGGTATTTCAAAGGATTTTTTCTTTATTGTTCAGTTTTATTTAAGAAAAAATCATGGATAGCAAGTGCTATGTCCCAAACGACAACTCACTTTATTCAGGCTGACATGAGATGGAAAGAATAAGAGCCTCACCTGCAAAGCCTGCAGCTGCGCTCACCAGCTCATGAGTCAACGAAGATTTGTGATGATCATGTTGTTGGTCGTTCCGGTAGCGTTCATTACTGTAGACCTGTTCATGGGCCTTCTTGCTGTCGCTCATACCAAAAAGTTTGTGCAAAAATGCCATCGTAACTATCAACGTTTATATCTCGTACTTAGTACTCGTCTAATAAATGAAGACTACTTATATATTTTATTTTGATGGCGCGCAAATAGAGAGAAAAAACAACAGCGTATTCGATGCATAAATAAAAAGCTGTCACTCACTCGCTCACTCATTCACTCACTGACTCATTGTGAATCACGTTTGTCGTTCTGTTTCCCCCGCACACTGCCGACACGAAAGAAAAATCTTCCGTTTACTTTTCTCGGGATGTAAGTAAACAAAAGAAAAGGAGAATAGCAGCAATTCTAGCAGAAAATCGATGGCATCATAGGTGAACTACAGAAGCATCAAAGTGCCAATTTGGGTGTGAGTGTGGTTGGATATATGGCTAGCAGTTGATAGAAGATCTAATCCCACACCCACACCCTTTCTTTTGATATTATTTCGTTTCTGCTGTTTTAATTTGTGCCAAAATTATATCATTCGATGTAGAAACTGATTAGTGTTCTTATTTTACTCTGTATTAAATTAAACTAAGCTACCCAGTTGTATATAAATTCGAAGCATAACAGTAGAAACATAGCATTTTTCATACTTGATCATATTCATCTACCACTCTCTTCTCAAGCGTCGAACAGCAACGGACGATAATGCAGAACATCAGCCAAATGGTTTGTTTGATCGTCCTCTTCGTATTGGTGAGAACAATCTGGATGACACACGGCGCGATAATTCAACCTTCGAGCGACAAAAGCCTTCTTCGTCATTTAATCAAAAAGCGTATAGCTTTTCCTATTCCTCCTTGTGCTCCGGGTGGTTCTATTAATCATATTCATTGCTGTCCTCCTGGTTGTGCTGGCGGGGTTCGTTTTAATGGTATTGCTAGTCCTAGTTGTAGTACTAATGGTGATTGTTACACTTGTGGTAGTTATTGTTTTACCTGTTATATTCTGCTTACGATGCGTGTATTGCTTCTTGTAGTGCTACTTGTGGTACTGCTGGTTGTACTCCTTCTTATTCTTGTGCTGCTAAATGAGCCAGGTATTTCCTGTCGCCAGAGAACCCTGATGGAAACTAATCGCGAGAGTCAGCGATAGACGAAAATTCTCCGAAAAGTGGGTAAAAAATGTATGATTCTGTGCATCCATTTTTCTCTTTCTCGTATTATATGAACTGTACATTCCATCATTCGTGTATTCTTCTTTGATTTTATATCTTTTCTATTTCCTATTTGTTATATAAGGACCAGCCATCTATATAGAATTGATGGCAGACCCTAACACCCCCCCCACACTAGGTTACACAAGCATATCGGCAGATATTAATTGTTCATATAATTTTTTATCACTTTCTTGAGGGTGTGGGGTGTGGGTGTGACTGAGAATAAGAATACCGATATCCATACCCACACCCACATCCGCGAGGTTATGTGCGGTCCTTTTCATATGGGAATGAAGAAAAAGACAAACTGTACGCTTCTTAGTAATATGAAGAATGATACCAAAATGGTATTGGTGTTTTTATATTCCTAAGTATAATTTCGATGATTTCGTCTGATTTTAGTTATTGAAATTAGGTATTCTTCCTTCTACTCTTGTTTTAGCGCGAAATATTTTGGACTGTGGTGTCATGAAGGTACAAGATCTACTCATAATGTTGCTGGTATTCAAATGGCAAGTACTGGTCAAAGAATATACGCCAAAAGAAGGCTCCAGAAAGTCAGATGTAAAAATGTCACTGAACGATAATTTCACAATCACCGCTTTCAACTCTGAGAAATTCTATGTACTTTATTGCGTGTCGAATAATTCGATAAAAACATATTATAAGATAAATTATCGCGAAGATGACGTCTATGTCTACAGTCTCTCTGTACTGAAAAATAAATCTGATCCAATTATGTCATTTTTACAAGTCGTCAAGGATATCAAGTCGAATCGATATTAACTTATCCGAGTTTCACAACAGTGTAAATTATCAATGTCGCAAGAGCATTGACAAGGTATTGAATAATATTGGTCAAGAACACATTTTAATCAAAGTTGATATACAAGAAAAGTATGCTTACGGTTTTGCTGATTCATTTATACTTTCATATACTTTATTGGCAAATGAACTCTACCAGAACAACAAAACAAATGTTGTACATTGTGATGGAGATAATGGACCATTTATCCCTCATGCAGCTGATCTAAACAATATCTTAAACTCTGAAAACATTGGCTACAATCACGAATCTATAATGTCAACTTCAATTGATCATTTTGGGATGATGGCAGAGGTTGGGCAAGCACAATTGGACACAGTGACGATTACCTTTATAAATGACAGCAATACACCTACAAACATTTCTGAAATGTACCAAATAGTTGAAGATGTGAAATTGATTGACTTTGGACGTTCAGTAGCTTGGCTCGACGATAAGGGAACACTCGCTGTACTCATTGCCAAGTCGGGAAATCGTAGTGGACTATGGGGACGCTCCTACCTTTTTATCCTGGTACACGCACGCAACTTATTAATCCTTCGTGACGACGGCAAACTTATACATATTCCATCGACTGATCCTGGTTTCTGCTCTATGGAACATTTGGAAGTCTCTGAAGTTTACCGCGAATTGTTAACTTGTCTCGATAGTGATATATGTGCTTCGCTTTCCGTGGCTTCCCTTCGCAAGGGTTCTTCAACGAAAGAATCCACTTCGATGGTTTACTCTTTTTTATCGAAACGATGCGTGAGTGGAACCTACAAGAGTACAACCGGCTTTGGCCCCTGTACAGTCTGTCCATCAGGAACAACAAATCCGGGAGGTAATAAGTCATCTGATTGTCAACCATGCAAGCCGGTAGAATTCTGTTCGCTGGGTGCTAGTAGTGAAGTCAATGTCACTGTGTTTAATTCTACTACGCAAGTATTCAACTATCCAGATTCGCCTATTACCGACAACTATGATGATGTATTGCTACTTAACTTCATTCCTAGTACATGGACAGCTGGTTGCGTCTTATCTTCACCTCTCTTCGTTGCTGTTCTATTCATAATACTTTCTTTCATAATATTGCTCATTATATTAACCATTAAAAAACGACAACCGACTTCATTTGACACTCATCGGGAACGGGCAAAACGCATTCTCAAGCACACTGACCTTATCGGAGAAGAAGAACGCTTGGTTGGTGGTCTCGCATCGATTGCCATTTTTCCAATTATCATATATTCTATCGTTTTTGCCGTCTATTATTTTTTTTCATATTCCTCCGACAGCACATGAATTCGTGAAGCATGTAACGACAGTCTACGAAATACGAAATTTGATAATGCTTTGCAAACTGTAACGATTTAAACAATAATTTCACAGCATCATTCAGTTTTCAAGTACCCACTCATACTTCTACTGTTCAAGTCACTATCAACGGACCCTATTTTATTGGGGCTATTCGACTTTGTCTGCATGGATTACCAAAATTCGAAACGGAATTTGGCAACCAACACTAATCAAGATATTCAACAACAGTATTGCGCGAAGAATACTATAAAAACTCCAGAAGAGTCAGCAATTATTGAATATTCGGAGCCCCCTCGTTATCTATCGACTGGTGAGTGATAATCCTTGTTATATAAGTTGTGTCAGACAATATGAGATGTAATTGCAAAATCAGAAATTGGTTCCAATAAAAAGTAACAGTTCTCATAAGATTTTCTTCGCCATTATTTGATTAATGATGAATCAATGAAGAGTTGATCATTGTTCAGAATACTTTTTAATCTCTCTATCTACATTATGGCTTTCATTTCGCTAAAAGGTGCAGTTAACTTTAGGGTAATTCAACAAGTCAATTTAAAACTATTAGTAATCTAAATCACCTGAAATATTTAAAAAATATCATGTTTTCTCAGAGTTTGACAATTTAAAACATCGAAGCTCATATTGGATGCATGTTTTATGTACAAAAACTTACCAGAACCTGGAATCGTATAAGATTTCTAAAATTTCATCAAATTTTTTTATGAGTTCCCAAATTTTCCCTTCTTAATACTTGAAAAAATATAATCAATTATTGTTCTTGTAGCTCAGCCTCCTTTTTCGTTGACAACACCATCAACCACCCAATCTATTCTATCATCTGATTATTTGACTGTTTCGTGTCCACGTTCATACTTTGACAAACGGTTCAACATGTATGCCGAGAAATCAAAACGCTGAATTAAATCCACAAATTAGGTATCTCCAGCAATGCCAAACTAATACTGGCCATGATGATTAGGAATGAAGACGAGACGATGCTGCTAAGTTGTCGCTCTTTGTCAAGAACAACAATGATACAGACAACTATTTCGTGAAAGAATCAGCCAATTAACACGAAGTATATTCATATCTATTAAGACAATTATAACTAATGCAAAACAACCAATAGAGTTAGACATTACCCTTTTTCGGTTTTTCTCTGTTTGATCAGTATATTTTTATGTTGGTGATACTAGAATAGCAACAGCATTTACTTACTCCTTCTTGTAATTCATTTCATCTGAATTACTTTGTAATTCACTTGCGTCATCCAGTGTGATATTGGATAACAAACAGAACCACTGTTACACTGGGGATGGCGAACACATTTGTGATCAGGTTTTTCACAAGTATTACCAGGGGTTTGACATGGATCGAGACGAGAACATGCCACCCAAAGAAAACCACAAATACCACTTTTATCAGAAGTTGTCAAAGGAAAACAACCACAATCTTTATTAGTAGAACATTCACTATATTGAGATGCTTCACGGCATGTTTCTGAAGATATATATGAACTAAATAGAAAATAAAATACGTATAATAACTACATTATTAAATGAAAAATAGTTTCATGTAGTATGCACTCTATAACAACAATCAAACTTAC